CACTTATTAACATTCAAACATTAACCAATTCTCAATGTTTTTACAAGTAGCTAACAGTAGCATCAAGTCTACCAAGCTCTTAACTGTAGCATGAAGATGTAATGAGCACTAGCACTCCTCGCTTCTCATGGCGCTCTTCTCTCGGCACGCATATAAAAGAAGCTGCCGTTTTCTCATGGTGGGTTTGGTACCTTTCGAATAAACGTCTACTCACAACTCCTCGTCGCACAACCAAAACGGTCAATCCCAAACAATTGGGGACCCTGGCAGGACCTCTTCGTCTTACGCAGGTAAAAGGAAACCTTCTACAACAGGACAAGCAGCAAACGTACGTTTTCTCCACAGTGTAATGTCCGATAGTGCTAGTATCCGACGTCAAATCGGATTTTTCAAGAAGCAATTGCAAAAGTATTGCTCAGACGCAAATGTTTCATTGAGGGAATACAACATCTCCCCTACTGCCCCACAACTCGAAGCTCTCAGCGATGATGCTATCGAAACCTTTCGACTGGAAATTACTGCAATCCGATCCAACCTGCTCAAGGCTTATGCCAAAATCACAAAACTGGACGAGGAATGGAATGCACTTCAGCAAGCCAGCCCCGAAGAGCAACAGGTACTCGCCGATTACCTTAAAAAGTATGGTGATTATCATGTTACTGTTGCTGACGCTGTCAAACAGTTGGAAACTCTTGACGTTTTGCTGAATTCCATCGATCAAGAATTTACTCGCCGCCACCTCACTCTTTCATTCTATCTTCTGAAACTCACACACCAGACGAAGATCAACCTTAGAACCGAGGGACAAATCTCCATGTCCCCGCCATTTCGCAACCCACCGATGTTTCTCTTTCAAACTTTGTCGATGCTTCCATCCTCTCCAAACTTGAACTACCCACTTTCAATGGAAATCTTCTCGATTATCCCGAATTTCAATCCCGATTTGCTACCTTAGTCGGAAACAAAGTCCAACTGGACGACACTACCAAATTTTCGCTTCTCAAATCATGTCTCCGAGGAAAAGCATTGCAAGTCATCCAAGGTTTATCCATGACCCCTGCCAACTATGAGGTAGCGATGGACATTTTGCGAACTCATTTCGATGATAAAGTCACACTCAAGCATATACTGTACACGAAGCTTGCATCTCTACCTGTGACCCAGAGGGCCGCAATCTTCTCCCTCTTTACAATCAGATGTTTTCGCTTGTGAGACAGTTCTCTAACGGTAATGACGATTCAACAGAGAAAGCTCTCGGTGCTCTTCTCCTCAACAAACTTCCTCCTCGTGTGAAAAGTCGAATCTACGATCAAACTTAACATGACCACAATGTTTCACCGTTAGAATTGCTTCATCTACTCACGAGCATAGTTCGCAAAGAATCTACTCTTTCGGAAATGGAACTCTATTCGAAATCGTCCTTCTCTGGTCCACTTCGCTATCCTCATTAAGGAACCTACACTACCACGAAGCAACCACGGTCTCAATCACCAAAATCCGTCAAATTTCGCCAAGGTTGTCCCTTTTGCGACTCGCTCCATTCTGCCGTAAATTGTACCAGCTATGCTACACCACAACAACGCTTTCAACAAGCAAAAAAGCGGAGCCTGTGCTACAACTGTCTATCTCCTCGTCATAGCACCAAAGAATGCCCTTCAAAATTTCATTGCCGGCTTTGTTCGAGAAGACATCACACATCTCTATGTTCATCCTCGAAAAGTAAATCTCCGATGACAGATATTTCCAAGACTACCGCTCATCATCCCCTCTCCCGCCCATTTCACCCACGCCAACCCACTTCATCTCGATCCCAGAATCATGCTGTTCATTTCGACAACATCATCCAAACCTCTTGTGCAGATGAAGAGACGAAGGAAACTCAGGCAGCCCCCACCTCCGACCGAAACCCACAGGACATCACTCTCACATCATCTCAGAGAAATTCACCAGCTCCTTTGATGTGCACGGAAGTCAGAATCTTCAATCCTGATAATCCCTCCCATTCCCTCACTACAACGGCTTTTCTCGACTCCGGCTCCACCACCACCTATATCACCAACGATCTTGCTGCATTACTCGACCTACCCGCCATCGAGACGGAAGTGCAAACAAGTCGTTTGCACATTTTTACAACTCATATAGGTAAGTTTCAAAAATTTCACGACCCATTCTCGGAGGGGCGCGCGCCCCCCCCCCCCCGCCCCCCTCCCCTCGGTCCGCCACTGATGCATACATACATAAACACATACATACAGGCATTCAGCTTTATATATAAGATTACACAGTTTGCGAAAGCGCTCTTCAACTCATTTATCGGAAAGCTTGATTCTATGGCTATCACCTGAAATGAACAAAAGCCTGGAAACTCCTCAAACCAGCTGTATGTTAATACATATTTACTTTTAATGCTTTTGAAAGCGAAAAATAGTTATCATTTCATTTTGAAAGGGGTGAACGTTGCAGATGTTGCAAATCTTATATATTCTATAAAGCTGAATGTCTGTTTGTACGTTTGTCTGTTTGCCTGTACGTATGTTCCGAGTAGAAAATTCCATTTCTGAACCGATCCGAACCAAACTATGCACACATACACTTCGGAGAGGGGCGGGTGTCATAGGCTACTTTTCGTTATCGATCGACATTGATTTTACCGATTTTTTGCAAAGTTCGTGCTGCAGGGCTGAGAGTTGCCGCAGGGGGGTACACAGGGGATGGGAAATGAAATGTAGAAATGGGCATAGGGAAAGCCTGTACAAGGATAGGGATGGGACTTTTATTACAGTGTTTTGATAGGGCCGGGCGTAGCTGGGTAAGTCAGCTAGTATTTTATATTTTAGTATGTAACAGTACAAAAATTTTTTAGAGTCAGGAGGTGCGATATGCACGAAATCGTAATATTACGCAACGAAATAATAGCTGTTAGGGTCCTATCTTTGACTATCCTTGTAAAATTCAATTGCTTACTGCGTAGCTTTGACTACCAATGCGCGGAAAGGCTGCGAACGTTGAATCTCGGCATAGGCGATGAGCTTGCGCACTTCATACATTTTTTACAAAGTCTTGAAGAAGATTCTTATGAGAATATGCTTAAAAATGTTGAGAACAGCCACGGAAGTTAGCGAAAAAAATTTTTGGTAGTCCGTGAACGTCCACGGTCCCTCGCGACAACCGCTCGCTTATGCTGGTGTTCATAGCACGGCGCGGACAACTATTAAGTTGGAAAGAAATAAATGTCGCTTTTTAATTTCTTGTCATGGCATCGTAACAGGACAAACCCCAAAAGCATGTGTTGGGTACCATTCGATAGAGCGAAGCAAGTTCTACAAAACGGATTACTCCTTTTGCACCACGTTATGCCACTTTTAGTTGGAAGACGGACTCTGAAATGTTTCAAATGACCGAAGAATTAAAAGAATTCGTATTCCGTCTAAAAAATTTGTACGAATCCCCACCTTGCTCAGGGACTTACACCCTTTATCAGGTATTCAGATGCGCGGTTCTCGTGCTTTTTCTTCGGCTAGACATTGAAAAATCGCAAATTTTCACACTTCTGTTAAAGTAATGCTGCGTATTTCCCGCGTCTCTACTTCTTGACTACTTAGTTTGGGAAGTACGACGGTAAGTTTCCAGCCTTCTAGAAAAGTTAATTTTTGAGAAATATCAAATTTAGCTTTTTTTCTGTTCTCCAAATCAAACTCGATGTTTCTCGAAAATTAACTTTTGTAGAAGGCTGAAAATCTACCGTTGCATTTCCCAAACTAAGTGATAAAGAACTAGACGCTTTGGAACAAGGCAGCATCACTTTGACAAAAGTGTGTTTTCCGATTTTTTATTGTCTAGCCGAAGAAAAAGTACAGCAATCGCGCATATGAATATTTGATGAAAGGTGTAAGTCCCTGAACAAGTTGGGGGTTTGTAGAAAATGTTTGGACGGAGATACGATTTTTTTCTGATTTTTCGGTCATTTTAAACTTCTTAGATTCCATCTTCCAACTACACATGAACATAACTTGGTGCATCAGTGACTCCGTTTTGTAGAGCATGCTTTGCTCTATCGAATGATACCCAACACATGTTTTGGGGGTTTGTCCTGTTGCGAAGCGATGACAAGGAAATAAAAAGCGACATTCATTTCTTTCCAACCTAATATTTAGTTTCACGAGGCCTATGCATCCTATTGACCTTAGAAAACTCATTTTCCTAATTACACGAAGTTCAACACATGTTTGCTGCAAGATTTTAAACAAACGTCGGTTCTTTTTAGTTCATTTGCTGCTTCAGATGTGCAGATCGTAAACTTGCTGATTATTGAACATCCCAGTTTTATTTTACTGGATGGGGGTATCTAAATTTAAACAGTCTGTAAAAACACCACGGCTCTGAAGTATGCAAGATGCCATAAGATTAGCATATACAAAAAGCGTGATTGCTTGATAACAAGCTAAGAAGCGTAATTGCGTGATAACAGGCTAAGAAACAAACATCCTTGTAAGGGTATGGGTGACCACAATAATCTATCTGCGGGGTTTAGGAAAAAATAATGAAGATACAGACTTCCGTGCTTCGATCTGACCAATTATGAAGCTTCCTCCATATTGTCGTTAGTATTTCAGCCTTCTCTGTTAACGTGATAGCATGTAACTTCAATGGAAAAGGACTTGAAAAGATCGCGAACGATCAAGAGCTCATTTGTCAATCCAATTGTCTTTCTCTAATCTGCAACGTGACTTTTCAGAGGCAAACGATAAAAGTCCATTTGACCTCACAACAAGCACTATCAACAAAACAGCGTACAACTTTTTCTAATCCCTGTACGTGAGTCTTACCATAATGAGTGACATATAAGAGGTTGCTGTGTTGTGCATATCACGTTTCATTTCCGTGCATGTCACTCAAAACACAACTCCGCTTACCTCGAAAACGGACTTTTTCTTACAGCAACGATGTCTGACCCCGATGATCGCTTGGACTTCGTAATGTAACAAAAATTACTTTGAAAAGTTTATTTCTAGATATGGGTAGCCTACTTTGCATATTACCATGTCTTTTCTTTGTAGTTGCTGCTGATCCGTAAGTCAACAATTACAGTCGGTGATTTTGAACTATTGATATGCAATTAAGATACGATGATCCTAATACTTTACCTAACAAGCAAGTGATAGTGCAACTGTTCGAATGGAAATGGAAAGACATAGCTGCGGAGTGTGAGAACTTCTTAAGATACTACGGCTACGGCGCCGTCCAGGTACTGTGGGGGACTTGGAACTTCGTGTTAAAGGCACCGTCTGGGCAGATTTGGACACTATAGGATACTATTACAATCGAGTACTAGGGCCTCGATCTAGAACTTCTTCGCAAACTCGACCTCTAAACACCCCTTCTAAAAGGGGAAAATTTGTGCACAAATCACAGGAGCTTTCAGAACCCCGCCCACTCCCTCTGAACGAACTCTCCTCAGCCCTTGACTTGTTTTCACCTGACAAACAGAATGGAACACATAGTGACTACTTGTTAATGCTTGTTTTCGACAAGGACTGCATTAGAAGCACTCGTCCACGCCTTTTACAATGTCTCAAAAATGGGGGTTTTTGAGGAATTCACATATTTTGGATGCCACATTTGGAATCAGCGCCATGGAAAAACCTGGATAAAGCGGAAAAATAGAAGTCGAGATTCTGCTTGGACGCTGCTTTTAACAAAGATCATAAACGCGAAATTTCAGACTTCACCACCTAATGAGCATATCACCTTGACTCAAAATAATGATATGCCGTGGTGGATTAGGTAGGTCCACATTCCTAAGGATTACGCAAAGAAAAACTGGCATTTCGATGGCAGATATCAGCCTGTTAGCTACAAACTCCAGTCACGTAGCGGAACCGAGGAAGAGTTTGTGGATATGGTCAATAGATGTAACAATGTCGGTGTGAGGTCAGCGTTGAGAAAAGCAATTTTTGAAGCAAGCGTCTTAATGGAAGCATTCAAGAATTATCGCTGATGCCGTCATAAACCACATGACAGGAGCAGATCAGAAAAAGGGAGTAAGTGGTCGAGACAGCAGCGCTGGCTCAGATTTTGACGCAACACAAGGGAGCTTTCCTGGAGTAAGTAAGATAAGAAGTAAAATGAAATTTCGTCATCAATTAAAACGGGCCCAACTGTTCGTCTGTTTACCATTATTGCCGTAAATTGAAGATTTTGTTTGGGACAACGAATTTATGTCACAGCAGGGATAGATGGCAACATAACCTTGGAAGGGGGCTTTGTGACCGGCTGGAAGGGGGCTTTGTGACCTAACTGAGGCCGCCGACCGCTACGTAATCTGCGTCTGTCCCGCGCGCGTGCTCTCTTATCATTTACCTACCTTTAATGAGGCCACGAACCCCGCCTTCCAACCAATCAAGCCAGTTGTATCAAAGAGTAGTTGTGATTTCTCAAGTGCTGCTGGCGTTTAGGTTCCATACTCGTCGTCAGATTTCCACGATTGTGCTAACGACATAACATCTGAAGACCTCAAAAGCAATGCCCAAAACGTAAGAATTGTTCAAGGACCAGTAGGACCATGAAAGTTTTTATTTAGGTGAGAAATTGTCGACTCTATGGACTGCTCGATTTGGATCAGGGTAAATCGAACGTTCAACAAAAAATTATAGAATATTTCAACCACTTAATCGATATTGGTGTAGCCGGATTTAGGTTTGTGAGTTCTTTGAGCATACATAATCAAAATCAATGATTCATTTTAGCGTAGATGCGGCAGCATATATGAAGCCGCAGGATCTACAAGCGATCCAAGACGGAGTAAAAGACTTGAGAGAAGACGTGAGTTGATAGGATCCTGTTCGAATAAGACTTGATCGTAAAATCTACAGATTTTTGGCACAAACAAGCGCCCATTTTTCGCGCACGAAGTCGATGTTATGGGAAATATATCGATTCAATGCAGCGAATATACCGAGCTTGGAAGGTTTTAGAAACTGTGAGTTTTTTTTGAAAACTCTAGGCTTGTTTTTTCTAGGTGCGTAAATTTCCCCTATGGTTTGATCGTGTCAAGAGCAGCAAGGGGATATTACTCTTGGGAGTAAGTCTATGGCAGCCAAAGATACTGCCAAAAGATACTTTTTATTTTTGCAGCAACTTGCAAAAGCTTGGACCTGGTTATTTTCGTGGGTACCATCACTCTGCAAACAACGATGCATTAGTCTTCATTGACAATCCTGCCACTCAGAGGGAAAATTGGGAAATTGTAAGTAAAAAATAGCTGGAACTTTTTTTACGAAAAGTTCAAAAAATTGCGAATGCATTCGAAAATAGTTTGTAGATGACATACAAAAACAATACGATGAGAATCGGAAATAACACAACAATATATCAACGATACAACTATGCAGTCGCGTTCATGTTGGCATGGCCCTACGGTGTTCCCAGAGTTATGAGCAGCTACTATTTCAACGATGCAGATCAGGGACCGCCAAGCGCGGGCCCTGCGGGAAGTTTTGAGGTAGGCTAGCAACTAAGGTAGTGCAAAATATCAAAAAAATGGTTGTAGACTAGTTCACCAACTTTCAATGAAGATCTGACCTGCGAAGAAAGTTCCGGTTTTGTATGTGAACATCGCTGGCCACTTATCAGGTGTTACTTCTACACTTCAACTTAATCTTTGATTCAACTAACTTGGCTCTTAGAAGGCGAGGCTTTGTGACCTAATTATCCCGCGACGCATTCTGCGTCTTACTCACGCGCGTGCTCTCTGATCATTATCTAGCCTCACCTAGGTCACGAAGCCCCGCCTTCCGGGAGCCAAGCCAGTTGAATCAAAGGGCACGCAGCTATCGGGTTTCGCGAAGCAACAAAATTAAACATTTTTGATGCTACTTTCTCCTGAAGTAAATCGTGATTGTTATGTTTTTAAAATAAAAAATGACATAGCAAAGCACATGTTTATGGGCACTTTTTTTTAGAGAGATGACGAAATTCCGATCAGTGACGGAAGGCGCAGAAGTAACTGAGGTAGGCAAAAAATTCTGATTATGAAACGTCTTTCAACTTTTGATAAGCGAATTGTGTAAGCCACAATAACCACTGCATAGAGGCAGCGGCTTGGCAAAATGACAACTTCGGGATATTCATTGTTCTCGCTTCCCCTGGATGAGCTAAGCCCAAGAATGCGCTTCGCAGCTTTAAAAGATATCGAAAACCCGTTTTTTCGGACGCGAAAAGTACTATATGGGCGAACGCTAAGCCTGTCCTCTAGAGCGCACTTGACTTGGTAAGTGGTGATACCGTACCTATCTCGGCGGCATTGGACTATTGGCTCCAGCAGCCACTTTTGCGACCCGCCCCAATAGCACTTTCACATCTGGAAAAACGGGTTATTGATATCTTTTTAAGCTGCAAAGCACAATTTCAGATTCAGCTCATCCAGGGGAACCGGGGGACGTTGTCCCAAAGTTGTCATCTTGTCGAGCCGATGCCTTTAATGCAAATTTTGAAGGTAGTCACACGATTCCGGGCCCTCGCTTTTGCACGCAAAGGAAAAGGGTTCTTCGCCATTACAGAAAGCTGGGTTCCATTCACAAAGTTTGTAGAAGCACATGACTCAATCATTTTTTTATGCCAGTTCTTTTCTGCCCAGAGTTTATCAAACAACGCTGCCTGAAGGCCAGTACTGCGATGTATGGACTGGATATCTCAAAGATGGCGCATGTACGGGAAAAACAATCACAATCGGCAGTGACGGTACCTGAAGACCCCCAAAAGTGTCTGCTTACAATTAGTAAAATAGCAATGAATATGTTTTTAGGCACAGCAGAAATACCTGTCTATCCAGTGGTAGCCATCTCGCTTGCCTCAAAGATTGGTATGTGATTTGAAAGACACAACAAAACTTCTAGAAAATGAACATTATGGACGAGAATTATTCCAGGATATGAACCGGGACCGGATCCGCCAGTGCCTACACATCCTCCAGGGCCACGAACATCGCGCAAGCCAATACCTACAAAGACACCAGGACCACAACCGCCGACGGAACCTCCTAAGCCAGAGTCGACAACTCCCAGGAAGGAGCCAACAACACCCAAGCCGCAGCCAACAACACCCAAGCCAGTGCCAACCACACCTAAGCCACAGCCAACAACTGCGAAGCCGAAGCCACCAACGACACCAGAACCACTGCCACCCACCGCTCCACCTGTCGGCTACAGCAAGACTGTGATCTTACTCCAAATGAATACCAGAGTTGGTGAATACGTCTTTGTTCGCGGTGGAACCAGCCACCTCAATAAGGGAGGTACTGCTCCTTCTTGTGCTTTTCTATGTGTGAAATCACTATTACTAAGGTTTAGCATGCGCGCCCAGCCCTTATCAGCAGGAAACGGATAAGTGCGCTATCCCCATCAAACACACCACCACAGTTCCCAGCAACTTCCTCGAATATATCTACTGGAGTCAAGGAGATAACTACCTCGACTTTGCAGGACCGGAAAGGAGTCAAGGTTTGCGTATGATGAGAGCAAGCAAAACATCAACTCACTCTTGCAACACTTAAAGGTAGCTGCTCGCCGGAACCGAGCATCTCAAAATTTTGAACATGGAAGGTTGCTTACACCCCCAAACATGAGGACACAAGTCCAAGCGCACAGCATGCTGCCCTTGCCTAGAAAACTGCCCTCAAACCCGTTACGCGCAAGATATTTTAATACACGCGGACAAGTTTACGATTCTCCCTGACCCATCAGAGAAGGCATGCCGCATTTTTACAACTGCGAGGGTCCCACAACGATTTTGCCTCTTTAACCACGGCGTTACGTGCTCCATTCGTGTAAATTCAGAATGGAGCTCTGAAAAATAGTGGTTTTTGCTTTTTGCGCTCTTCAAGGTGAATTTTCGGAATCAGCGCCTCGATACCCCGGGTAAGCAAAAAAAAACTTTAGGTCGAGAATCTGCCAAGCCGCTGACTTTAACTTTTTGAGTAGTACAAAATTCAACTATCACAAATTATCTTCTCATTGATAATGCTCCAAACTCGGTTGTTTATGAATCTTGGCATAATGTTGATCACTGTTATATTCTTCTTGAGCCTGTTACCAAGATTGTCAGTAACTTTATTACGGCTGACGTTTCGGCGTCGTCGCCTTCCTCAGAGCCTGGAAAGATCACAAAAACATTGCGCTATTCTCTCAAACACCTATCCGACGACTATAGTCCAGCATGGATAGGAGCTGAAACGACAACAGAGACATGAAGAACTGAGTCAGCGCTTACCGAGAGAGTCTTATGTGAGCAAACCACCGTATGCGGAGTGCGCCTAACTGTTTATTACTTTGCGAGCCCTTAAGTATCTGACCCTGACCCCATAGATCAAAACCCACAGAGGGTCTGATATGGGGCCAGCTCTCTGGTCACGGCGATGCATTCGTCTTTAAGGTTCATTTTTGGGTTTTTTGAGGTGATCCAAAAAGCCTCTAACGTTTTGCGAGCTATTAGTTCGGGCTCGTGCGACAAGATCGTGACTTTTGTTGGAAATATGTTGTCGCTATGGCATTGCCTGCGATGCGCACCTAGGGCTGTGGATAACTTAGACTTTTCGAGGCCGTCCAAGTGCTCCTTGATCCTAACGCATAAAGGTGTCTACTAGTTTCCCTATGTATTGATCCCCACACAGCTGACATGTAATAATAGACCACCCCCGACTCCAAGCAATCACCTGGCCTCCCATATGGACATATAGCGCATTGAGGACTTGGGCACAGGCGGTCGTATGCGCGATTACGTACCAATTGGTTTTTGAGATTGGGGGGGGGGGGGCGGGATATCTACAACCCTAACGTGCTCTTCAAGCCCGGCGTGGCGTAAGCTTCTCTAAGGGCTCGCAAAGTAAGAAACAGTTAGGCGCACTTCGCATACGGTGGTTTGCTCACATAACGGCTCTCTCGGTAAGCGCTGACTCAGTTCTTCATGTCTCTGTTGTCATTTCAGCTCCTATCCATGACGCTGGATCATATCTTGTCGTCGGATAGGTGTTTGAGAGAATAGCACAATGTTTTTGTAATCTTTCCAGGCTCTGAGGAAGGCGACGACGCCGAAACGTCAGCCGTAATAAAGTTACTGACAATCTTGGTGACAGGCTCAAGAAGAATATAACAGTGATTAACTTCTCATTCATTACTGTGAAGAGCATCAGAAACACAGGGTTGTTCAACGGTCGTCAATCATCCGGTACTCCTCTGGCATATTCGAGCAATAACCCGTCGGACAAGGAATATCAACCATACAATAAGTATGGTAGAGGCTACTGGATTGCGGAGATAGTTATGGACTGCTCAAAGACTGACAATGGATGGTTTGAAATGAAAGTGAGTTTAAATTTAAAGGCAGCGTCCAGGCAAATCTGGACATATGGGGATCACGTTGATAATAATTGGGATTTTGGGGCCCTAACTAAGGCACTGCCCAACCGGCAGCTCAGGTAGTGCTCTAACGGCTGAGGTATTCCCCTCGAAACTGGACCCCAGGATCGTATTTCGCATGGATTCATGGCGCAACACGTGGGTCCTCGCGCGAAACTGATGTGTTGCGCCATGAATCCCTGCGAATACGATCCTGGGGTCCAATTTTGAGGGGGAATATCTCAGCCGTTAGAGCACTATCTAAGCCGCCGGTTGAACAGTGGCTTAGGCCCGTATGCACTAACATTTCTGCGGCGAGGGGAGCGGCGTCCCCCGTTATGAAGGGACCGCGTGCGGACGCCGCTGCGACTTTTTCATCATTGGGGACGCCGCTCCCCTCGCCGCCGGGATGTTAGTGTATGCGGCCCTTAGTTAGGGCTTAGAAATTACTATTCAAGTGGGTTCCCCTACGTCCGGAGTTGCCTGGACGCTGCCCTCAACACCAAAATGTATGAGGGCGAAAATTATTCCGTTAGGGTTTTCTATATCCATATAACCGCTGGGAGAATGACATACATCAAGGCATTTGTACTGGTAGTGTCGGAGGCTCTGCTCCATTCCAAAGTATCAATCATATTGGAAAATGTGGAGCCGTCAACGTCTTTCATTGGGGAAATGGTGCATGCACTATTGATGCACTTTGATGCGAAGAACAGAATAAATCTTTCTACAAGTACTTTTTGGGTAATCCTTGCTCCTAAGAGTTTAGTGTGTTCATTATCTTTGCCACATGTTTTGACAATAAATCTAAACAGGTTCGAGAAAGTATAAAACCAGTTCTTAATCCGATTATTCAATAGTGTGGTCTATAGACATACCAAATATGAAGATTACAAATCTGATTGAGAAATGCCTTTATTACATGTGATCGTAATGTTGTGCTCAGTTGTGCCGATGGTAATTTAAAAAAAGAGGGATTACGCTATCTCAGCAGAAAAAAACTGCTCTTGATAGCAGTTCATGTAGATAAACTATAAAGCTTTGCATAGGGACGCACATTGCAGAAAAGAATATACAATGGTAGCCTTAACTCCTATATCTCCAAGTATTATGCCATGCCCAAAATGAGACAAAACTGCCGACAATGTGTATAAGCGATTCATAATACGCAAAGACTGGACGCCGTTGCGTCCGACCATGACAGTTCGTGCATAGGAGAGGCAGCAGACGGTAACAAGAAAACTTAGAAAAATGCGTGTTGCACTATGTGTTGGGTCTGGAACGTGCTGAGGTGACGTAAAAACAATAAACCACTTTGGAATGCAGTTTTTTCATATGAAGGATATATTGAAACCTCCAATTCCGAGTGGAACTGATACCTTTCAAATAAGGGAAGTTGATAATAGCCACTGACACACTAGGGCCGGTAGTAATCCCCCCGACCTGGCGGCAGGTCTCGTCGGCAGGTTGCTGGCACCTTTCCGCGAGGTGGCCAGAAACTAAGAACCGAAATTTAGGCCGTCCCAGGCCTTTTCCAAAAAATTTTCTCGATAAAGTTGCCGCCTTGACTCTGTAGAAAACTTCATAAAAATCTGCGGCTCCAGAACTCCTCCTTTAGTAAAATATCTGGAATTCCAGGAGGAGCTGCCGGCAACTTCGCGATGTCAGTTGCCGGCAACCTGCCGGCAGGTTGCCGGAATCCGCGAGATGGCAGCTGCCGGCAGGTCAGAGAGCACGGGAAATAGCGTGCTCTTTTGAGAGAGCGAGCTGCCGGCACCTCGACGTGCCCCTACCACGTCGAGGTGGTGGCACCTTTGCCGACGGCGTCTGCGAGTTTGCGAATTGCGGCGATATCACACAATTTACGTCAGGCGAAAACATCAAAAATTCTACTTTTCATCAAAAAACTATCATTTTTTTCATTATACGAGTTTTTCTTTTTTAGAACGACGATTTTCTTACAGTGAAAAAATCCAGTAATGCCTTAGAATCATAAAGAAACATCATCTTTTTTGGAAATCCCTTATAAATCTCGTTTGCACAGATTTCGCCGCTCTCTCGCTCATATCAATCAGCTGTTCTTTCAGGTCAAAGTCTCTCACGCAATGTATCGATCCCTCTTACAGGCAGCCATTTACCAGCGCGTTCCTCCTATTGCTGGTTCCAAAGGCAATGGCTGACCGAATGGTCGAATGGTTAACGTGGTGGCACTTCAAGTTAACATGCATAGGTTCGACCGCGCGCGAGGTAGCAATTTTGCGGCTGTTTGCGTCATCAAAACTTAATGTGCGAAATGAGTGCGTGCTAAGGTTACATAAGATTATTAAAACCTACAATCACTGCTGCCGGCGGAGTTGGCATCTTTCCGCGATGTGTGCCAACTTGCCGGCATCTTTGATGCCACCAGGTAGGGTAGATTACTACCGGCCTAGGTATCCAAAACAAGTGTTCAACTTCTGCTTTGTAGACGCTGATTTGCTTCCAATGTTAACAAACTTTCATCGTGCTTGCGCAGTGGAATTAGCTGCTTTAGGACTCACTATATGATGATGATCATTACAAAAAGAAATTTAAACAAGTATTCATTCCAAAAGCTTTGCCGAAGATCGGCATTTAGACGGGAAAAGTTTATAGCGAAAGAAATATAGAAATTTGACTTGAATAAACCTATTACTTCGTGAGTTCCATGTGAACGATAATATAGACAGACATACTCTACTAAACAAGCATCTTCACATTATTATAGGGTTGGGGGAAAGTCCTTGAATTTTTGATGTCCTTGTATGTTCGACTATTCCATAAATTTTTGTATGCTAATCATATGTGTTTGCCTCTTATACTCGTACAAGCCCTCAAAAAACTGGACTATTAGCTATTTTCTATCGGAGGTATGCCTTCTGGAATGGAGCGAGCGTTGGTGGAGAAGATGCACGAGGAGAGGATGGCTTACCAGCAAATTGCTCGGGCTCCCCAAATTTTACAGATCAGGGTCTTTTCCACCTTACGTCGTTTTCAGGATATGAACAGCACCCAGGACTGTTGTATGAGTGGTAATTTGGCTACCGCGAACAGTAACGAAATTCTGAAAATTGTTCGTCAAGGCCTTCATCGCAATCCTCGGCGAAACTTGATTGCTGGATTCAGAGCTGTCCATCTCTGGTAGGACAGTCTCCGACACCGTGGGACAGGACCTTGGGATAAAGCTTTTCAAGATGCTAAGTGTACATTTTCTGAAAGCGGAGGGCGAGACGGTTCCAATGGGGTTCCAATGGTGACCACCTGCATATACTATGTGTTCATATACAAAAGTTATGAATTTTTCATGTTAAAAACTCAAAAATACCAAAAATCACTAATCACACCTTTCATCAAATACTCCTATTATATAAACGGACTCTCAAGCTATTTATTCCCTAGAACGAGAGGGAACGTTGTTCCACGGAACTTTCCTCGCTGACGTTGCTGTGCAACTACAGAAGCCTCTATTTTTTTCCTCCTGAAAATTCGTGAATCCCTATAGATCTTTACTCTTTTCCGATACACAAACAATCTCCTTAGAAATATCTCCTTTGCTTAACCTAACGTCACTGTTGATTTTTTCCTTGGCTTTTGGTAAAGGGAGTTATACCTTGGTCTCGGTTTAGGGGTGAAGAGGGGTGCTGAGATTTATAGAAAGTCGAACTTTCCCATCACCTAATCGTCCCCAGAAGTCATTAGCAAGGGTTGACTCGCAGAAGGAAAGCTTCATCGCGGCTTCTGTAATGGTTTGCGCTGCGATCACTTCCAACAGCAAGATGCTGGCGTTGTGTCCCAGGACATCGAGATGGACTCCGCTACGCACTTGGATAGCAGCCTGAAAAGAAGGGATTGTTGGCCTGGGCCAGTACCCATTTCGCCAAGATCGATTGGTGTCCCCAGCAGGATAGCGCACCTGCGCACAAAGTGAAGTTTGTTCAAGCATGGCTCCAAAGCAAAATCAAGGAGTTCATTACTCCTGCGGAATGGCCTACGTATTGACCGTGTCTGAACAACTCGACTACAGCGTGTGGCCAGTTCTTTAAGCCAAAGCCTGCGCTCACCACCGCAAGACAGTGGGGTCTCTGCGACTTGCTCTTCAAAAGGCGTTGGAAGAAACCGACATGAAGCACCTCCATGCCAACATGGACAGCGTTGCCAAGCGTTTCCGAGCTTGTGCTCACGTCAAAGGAGGAATTTTCGAATTGTAAAGCCAGTTTTGTGTAGCAGACAGCTAAATAAGCATTGCCTATTGATTTTATGTAATCACCTTGCCTAGCTTTATCATTAAGTTGAATCGTGTTCAAAGAATTTCCCCCAACCTTGTATGTTTCCGATAGTCATTGTCAGCCCGGGCTAGTTGCCTGCGTTAAAGTTAACATCAGCAGCATTCTCTTTACAAAAATTAACTGAAAATTGCGAACTTATTTTATTTCCAATAACTCCCTTGAATTCTCTCTCCTTTCAAGGAACCCAAAATGCTGGATTACAAGGCGACCTCAACTTGGTACTATTTTTTGGCACTGGAACTGGCGCACCGAGAGTCCCCCCCCCCCCCCGAGACTGGGTCATGAAATTTTTTTAAGCCATTCAACTGGGTTATAAAAATGTACGAATGGTTTGCTTATACTTTAAATAATTGAAGTAATTTTTGAAACTTTTGAAAATTTAAATTAAACCTTTATAAGAACTTTTACAACAAATTTTTTTCGGGGGCGTGCTTGCAAAATTTTCGGAGGCATCTCAAAAATTTTTTCGAAGTACGTGGCTAACGCCTTTATCCGAGAAAATTTTGTTGTGGCACCCCCCCCCTCTCCCTCCTCCCACCCCCCTCGAACGGAAATCTTAGCTACGCCAGTACTGGAGACCAGGTCCGAAATCTGCTAAAAACTCCAAACAATGGAAAATGCTGCCATCAAACAAATCAATCGCAGTAAAAATACAGGCTCACAGGCAACACTCTTTTAAGTACAAAGTTTGCAGTTCAAAGCAACACCATTCGAATCTTGCACCAAGTTTATTGAACAGTGTACCTAGAGTTTAACACAATGTCTGGTAAGATTTGTGTTTTGCTTAGATATCTTTTGCCGGTTTATGTACCATTTTATAGAGCTCGCCTCGACATGTATCGTAGTGTACAGCAAATCAACTTTCACTTTTCATTACTGTAAACGGTAGAAAATTTGGAGAGCGTCTGAACTAAATTTTGCTTTACCAAGTCAATAAAAACAACACTTGATTCTTAACTAGGCTAACCAAAGTCGCTGACCCCAAATATATTAGCTGCACTTTACCGCAAAACTTGGCTCATACGTTAATACAGGTACACCGCAATATCTGTCTTTCATCTGTCTGTTCTTCGAGATACAATTAATTACTAAATGGCTCCCCGTATTCGCTGTATTTGTTTCTTCTTGAATGCAGCGTTTGATCAGGTCCTGAGGCTAAAACCTGCGTTCGCCTCCATGAGATGGTAAAGCTCTGAAACGTTTTAGATTACTCTCTAAGCGGCGAGTGTCTATTTGTACTTTCTAACATGTCTGAAGAGAGGCACACACACTTCGGTTTCCACTCCTCCCGCGAGTGGTCTTCTGGGTTTTGACTCTGACCTATTCAGCGATCAGGGATAGATGAGAAAGAAAATCCGGTAGAGAAAACGTGGTTGGTCCACCAGTGATCCTTGCACGGAAGCT